CGCATCAGTTGTTGTATCTTAGTGTTGCAGGCTTCGATAGCCCCTATCGCTTCTTCTAAGCGTCTTCGAGATTCTCTCAGAAGTATGGGTGATGACTCTTCTGCAGGAAGCTCCACTGTCTCGAGCTTTTCTTCTTTAAAATGTGCTATAACCGTCTCTAGCTTGTTGCAGTATCGCGATAAAAGGCGTTTGTACGTCGGTAATTGTGTCGACATCTTTCGCGATATGGCTACTTGTGCTCAAAGGTGAAGCAGGAACAACTTGTGCTAAACTTTGAGCTAAAAGAGTCGATCGAGGAATATGGTGAAATGCGTGCCAATATTCAAAATGCAGATCGACTTGATTTGGATGTTGTGAGGAATGAGGATTCCTAACTGTGATGCGCAACAAGCAGCTGGTAGCACTTGTAGAAGAATTCAAATTGCAGGAACAGTGTAAAGACTTGTTGATTTGAAACTCGGTTTCGACTAACCTAGTATCAATTGTGGGCCTGCTACCGTTGAGCCGATGCACCAAATCTGTAGGAGAGATTGATCTTTGAATGACAGTTGCCACGCGGGTTGTGTTTAGCGTGTAGTATTACCTCAAAAGTGGTAATCAACGTTTATTAGGAGCAGTACACAGTAGTTTGTTCGATACAAGAGAAGTGAGAGAGTGAAGTGCCCCAGAGATTTGTCAACTCAGTTGCTTCTCAGGAACTACTTGTGGACTAATCCTTTAAGACTTCTTAAGTAACTGGATACTTGTCGTGTGGATCTAGTCCTACTCCTAGAATACTTCTGAAGAGACTTCTCGGCACTGGAAACTACTTGTTCTCACCCCAGGAGCTAACCCCCCAACTTATGGAGAGACTTGTCGAAGACTGCTCGACCTTACTCACTGAACGGTATTTATACTCTCTGGATAAATGAACTTGTGTTAACAAGTCAATGTTGGAGTAATGATTAACTGACATGTTATCGCTTGACATGTATGTACTTGTCTGGTGAGCTGCTTCCGTTGCGGGGCACTGTTCCTGTATTAAAGTTTATAAACAAAATCAACACAAGGATAAACATAAACATAAACATAAACAGAACATCAACAAAACATCATAGTATGAATTGGAGGTCGCCTTTGGCGACAAGTAATGCGTTTAAGCATTTGATGGAATACACTTGGAGCAAAGCCTGCGACGAATTCTGTAAAGCATAAGTGTCACATTGAGAGCGAACAGCTCTAACTTCTCTGAATAAATATTATGCCAAAAATGTTGCACTTCCGGTAGATATGAAAGTACGTAAATGACACTAACTGTTTCAATCTGCTCGACTATTATATAACCTTTCCCTGTTCCTGTTCTAGTTCTATATGCTAGCGTCCTGCAGCGAGTGTATTCTAGTAGCCAGCATGCACCCTACCCTCTTTCCTTTCCTTTTCTTTACCAGCCCCAGATTTCGAAAAGAAGTTCATAAACAATGAGAGTAGTGGATAATCCTGAAAGTGAGCATTGCATCCCAGCCTCTTGCTGACACTTACTTCAAGTAAATCATTACCTCGGCCACGGAAGTAACCTATAACTTTCTAATACCCCAGCCCAGCCCGTGTGAACGTGAAAGTTTTGGTCCGGATGGGCGCACAAAATTTTCTTATCCAAAACGTACGGTCATATAGATACCTGAGGACAGGCAGTCAGACATTTCAGCGCTATAAATTCGAGTACACACACAGTAACACTACTATAATCTACGCATATAAGTTCTGTGAAAAAAGAAGAACGAAAAGAAAAGTAGATAGATGCTATTCAACAAAGACCAAACCCCATTGTATCACATTTGGGGACGATTACACCTTGCAAAAGTGGCTGCAGGTTTCGTTTTTTATAAGTTTTTTCATCTTCTCACAGGATTTACTTAGACTTCCGAAGGACAAGCAAAATTTGCAGCGTTTCCGCAGGATTTTGCTTGCTCTTTAGTGTAAACATTGAAAATGGGAGCTCTTGCAGGATTTTCACGTCAGACTGGCTAAAAATGGGAAATTTCGCAAAACTTTTTACACACCGCTGCGGAACTTCCGAAATATGCCAGCGGTTTCGCAGCACCAACGCATTGACATACCAGTAATTCCGCGGTTTCTGAATGTGTTGTCTGTCGTACTATGTTGCCCCGCCAACAACTAGAGTGCACTGCTGAACATGTGATCCGTAGTGCAGAGGATAACAGATGAGTCAAGGTTCAAATCTCTTAGGCGTTCTCTTTTGCTGTTGTGGTTAGCATTCTTCGGAACATCCGCAGCACCTCAATGAGGAACTTCCGCAGCACCTTTGCGGAACTTCTACAGATGACCCAGCGGTGTTTGAGTTGTTAAGATAAAGAAGGAAGTAAAGTTAGCAGCTGAATGTTTATTTCTCTGTCAATTTTTTGGTAATCTCGTCGAACTTTATGATTACCACACAAATTTATTTCTTTAGTGCTTTTCACCTGTTAATGGTCGTTAACACATTGACGACCGCCTGACACACATGATGTGTCAAGCAATGACCACCGGGTGGGACCACTTGACACACCATGTGTGTCAACGATTGATCGTTGAAATGGCTACCATCCTGGGATAAACTCACTTCACGAGATTTCTTTTGCACTGAATTTAGGGATGACTTCTACCTTTTTTGTTAGGCTTTCAGATCTATTGTAGGTGTACTGTAGGTGGCAGTATGCGTAATTATAGTTAAAAATGTGAGTCGGTGGGTAAAGGCCTTGGTCCCAGAAGGCAGACAACTAAATACCTGCATAGTCGTCAATGTGTTAAAAGTAGCCGACATTCGGCGACGTTAAGGTAAGTTTATGCTAGGTGGACCAAAGTGACAAGAGTAATCATAGCTTGGTCATCACGGTTTTAGAGAAATAACTGAAATGTTCTCTAAAGAAAAACTCCTTTTCATTAGGCTGGGAACTAAGTTTTGCAACTGGTTTCATAACTTCATTCTCATTCAACATGGCGCACTCAAACTTTGGCATTATTATGTAGAATGCAACGTGTGCTACAAGCGAGCACAAATTGTCTAAATTTTGAACACGAAATAGGAAAGTTTCAGGCGTTTTCCGAGAACTAGTGAAATTTGAGAATTTTTGGGGTTTCAAGCTAAAATGAAGCCTTTTGCAGCCTAGACCACGCGCAGTAATCCGGGTTCGTCTGCAAATTATTGCTGGAGGTTGACTTCTTTGGTCTATTAAGAAAGAAACAAAATTTAGCGACATGTCGAGATTTGGCGTCCTCATAAAGTCGAACGAGTCGATGTACGCAAGAGCTGCTGGGGACTACCGTCAATGACTAAAGAGTCCGAAGCTCAAATTCCGCCGAGATTTTACATAGTAAGGTTATTTGACCTGCCAAACTCGAATATTACATTCATTTGTTGAATCAATGCCTTTTTCCTTGTTTAGGGTGAGACCCCATATCGTACACCTACAGTAATCCCACAAGAAAGCCCTTATCACGCAATTTCAATATCGTTTTCGTAATCAGCATGCCGCATAACACCTCTATGCCATGTTTCAGCCAAATCCTTCAAACTTTGAATTTTTCCCCTTCATACCATGCACGTACCGTAACCCTCACTGCGACGTCAGAATTTGGTAGGACAGCAGCTGCGCTTGTAGTATACATAATAACCAACACAGTGGCAAAATTTGAGTGCACCATGTTGAGTGAGAGGGAGGTCATGAGAAAAGTTGCAAAACTTAGTTTCCAACCTAATAGATATGAAAGTCTAGAAAGCTCACATTTTTTCACGGCTAATCTAAAAATGTACTCTTTTACATTACAACTACATTAATTCAAAAAGTTACATTTACAATACATTCCTTTTCACGGACGGATTTGGGAGACCTGCGTTTTGGGTCTTGGAACATAGGTAGAAGGAGATTCACCACGATTCAGCGAGCATTGGAAAGAGCAAAAACAGACTTCTCAAAAAATGTTAATGTTGTCAATAAGTGTACGATTTCTTGGTAGCTGCATTGGACACAAGACAGCAAAAAATCAGAACAGAATTCTCGTAACAGCCTAGTGCGAATAATTTAGTTGTTTTTTCCCATTAACCGGGGCTTTTTTCTCAAAGAATCTGATGATATGCGTGCTTCGATTAGAAGGATTTTCCAAGAGATTCGAAGACAAACTGCCCCTTGCCACGAAGCAGGATAAAAAATTGAGTTTGGATTTTGACATGTTTTTTTTTAAATTTTTGATGAGATACGAGAGCATTTGAGATGACTTTTAAACTTTTAGCTGTATTTCCTAAAAGTAAAACGATTTTGTTTGAACTCAATCTTCTGTGCCTTACAGGTTTCTAGCAATGGTACACTTTATTACAGCCTGACTCTTGGGTTAGACGCGGCAGGAACTCAAAAAAGTGTCAATCACAATCTTTCTGCTTACTGTTTTCGCCATACGAATTTAGACAGGAAAGTAAATAAATGATGAGTCAAAACAACGCGCTACCGCTTTTTTCTTTTTTTTTTAAACGAAAAAACGAAAAATCTTTTTTGTGTGCAAATTTGACTCGTTCATTAAAAACCGGATGACATTATAATGTTAAAGATTACTTTTGGAATTGTTAAATAAGAACTGACTTATTACAGACTAGAAACATTTTGAATTTACGATGGCGAAAATCAACACAAGTTCTTCTCGAAACCTGATAAACTAGCTGGTATGTCATTTGTTCCTGGCTCGTGGTGGCAGGGGGTTGACATTTTTCCTGTGAAGTTGAGGAAAGAAATTTGGATAACGGAAAAGTTCCAGAATTTATCCGCAAAAATAAAAGGTAAAATGTTTAAAAATTTATTTTATCCAGCTCAGTCGTTGACGTACTATTCCAGCAGCTCAGCGAGCTTTTCATGCCACGGAAGACGATTTGAGTATAAGTAACCATGAGAAAGCTGCAGTTCAGAGCTACATCTTGCCTTTTTGTTATTTAACAAGTACGGTATACTTTTAGCACAAAATTAGTGTCATTCGAAATGTCTATTAGCATGGTTGCTGCACAGGCAGCGTACACTGAAATGGGACCATGTGCTGTTGAAATTGATGTTTGTTTGATGATAGCTATCAGAAATTCTATTATCAACTTTAAGTGTTTTTTGTCCGCTGCTCTCATAATCTTGTTCTTTTGGCTTTTAGCAGGAATATAATTTAGCAACAATTTCACACGCTTTCAATAGAATGGCAGTGCATTATTATAAAAACACCTTTCAGAAGCAGAAACTGTGAATTATGAAGCTGCTTCTTGTCGCGGATTGGGGTCCCCCGCTCCAGACGTCAGTGGTAACGTGCTCTCCTGCATCGGCGACAGGAGCGGAGGACTCCATCCGAGAGATAGAGTAACGACACTTGGGGAAACGGTAGCTACTTGCGCCACGCTATTATGGCCTGCCACGAGCACAACGCACACGAGTTAGAGGCCCTAGGCTACCAACCAACCCCCTAATGCCTACTGCCAGCCTTCTCAAGCCGCTCACACATGGACAATTGTGGATCTCTTGCAACTTAGGCACTGCCTAGGATCGTGCCTGTCCTTCCGACTGATGTAACCCTTCGAGACAAGTATACAAGGAACACAAACAGCATACAGATATAATGTGCCAAGGTCTGAGCCTTGGCTACCACAATAGTCAAACACTACAGCTCAAGGTGCCCACCATTTATCCCTAATTGAACCGAACACACAAGACACTCAATACAATGGGCAGAGTACACACCGGCCACTGATCTCACCTAGGGGACGGTAAAAAGGAAACCCCCCGCGAAGTGGCTCCTCAGCCCTGCGGCAAGAAAGGAGCGCACAGCCGGGTTACCTCGGTGCAGGTGCCAGTCCTCCAAGCGTGCAGGTGTTGAACATCGCTGGACCAAAGAGTGCGCTGCTGGATCGATCGATAGACGGTTGAGGTAGTCGGCCGCTCGCTGCTAGACAAGTGTGGGAGAATGCGTGACATATGCGAAGTTAGACGTGGGAACGAGAGGCGGGGCAGCGCGAGGACTGGCATTTTAGGACCCATCGCTTTGCGGTGGCAAACTCCCTATAAGGAAGTCGCGCAATCCGCGACACTTCTTACCCTCCTGCTTCTCAGCATCTTCGAAATCGCTACAAGTCATATCCTTAAACCGTTCCCCGAGGTTTTCTGCGAGGTGTGCCCCTACTTCTTAAAACTGTCTCCTGAAAAAAAGGTTGACTGCAAGGTGTGTTTATTGTACACATCTGCACAACATCTGCTTTGTGAGTTGGTAATGGATTTTCATTTTCAAGGACATACAAAATGAATGCAAGAAAGGCAATATAAAAGAATTCTGCGCGCAACTCGAATATTACAGCGAGTCTACCAAGAAAAGTTATAGAGAAGTAAGAAGCACTTATTTTTGCTATTTTGCTTTCTATTCTACAATAACACATTTCAGAAGATGAAGAACCTCACATGGAAAGAAGCTTGCAAAAAGTTCTGCTAGGAGGCCAGTTCGAAGGTAACTGCTTTACCTTCCCTAAATAAATGTTGAGCTGTTGATCTTGACATCAATATCTATTTCAAGGATAAGCATCATTCACTTATTGCTAGTAATGAGAGGTCACGCTGTTTTCATTGACTCATGAATACGGCACTAAGAGTTTGCCAAGGATGAAATCGAAAAGCTTTCCACAAGTTTTGAGGCATCTTTCTTCGCTTAAAAAAATGAGCTCGTCCCTTAGCGCCCGCTCCCTCTCTCTTCCTCAAAAATTTGCCGGTGCTTCTAGATGAAACACAAGATTCTAAAATATACTCAAGCAAATAGTTTAGATGATCTGCATCCACATATGATTGTTTCAAATCTCAAAGCCAACCATGTATAGTGCTGAAGATGTAAAGGCTCTCCAAACACGACCCTTCCATCTAGATAGATGGAAATCAATAATAAAGAGAAATCGCGCTTTCTCCTATGCTACTTCAAAATTATCTTACAAGTGTAAATAAATTCTCTAAATTAGGAGGATAGTGAAAAATCGACAAAATATACACTTGAAAATGAGTGACATTGAACATTGCTACCTTTTGTTTTAGTAACGAATACAAGTTGTAAATACTGTCTTTTCTAAAAGTTTTGTATTTTTTGTTGCATTTTGTTCAATGCAGCTGTTTTCCAAAAACCTACTGCACTTGTTGCTCACTATAAACACTTTTAGAATATCTTTCTTCTTCTTTCGAAGCTTGCTGAATCTTAATGAGATACTCCGTTTTTGAGAAATTTCGATCCCAAAACAAAATTGCCAAAATGCTGTCGTGCCCAAATAAAGTTCCACGAAGAAAATCGCATTACTTTAGGTTACTTAAGTGAAAACTCATAGTGGCAAGCGGTGTAGTGGTAGAAACCTTTTAATCCCACATAGCTGCGTCACTATATAATTTTTTAGTATAGGCTATTTATTATTTCAATTGAATGTGTCTGCCTTTCCTTATATAGGAGCATTGCGCTCTTTCATGGAAGAACTTGAGAAAATTTGTGAACTTTATCAGAAAAGAAATCTGCTTTAATCCAGCAGATGAATTGGTGAAGAAGGTTGTATTTAGAAATTTTGATATTAGGCTGTCCCGAAAGTTCTGTCGTTTCATTTTTGAAAAGTAACTTTGCGCTATCTCAACCGATTTCCATCCTTGTAATTTCATTTGAAAGCGTACGTCACTCACTTTCGAATACTTTTCTTTCTAGCTTCTAATACACACTGAATGGAGAGAAAAAATGGAAAGAGAAGACCATATAAACTTTGATCATTTTAACTTGGGTCGCCAAAAACCTGCACCGCTGCTTAAAATTCTAAAAACTAAGTGTGCAAGTTTTTTGACCTACTCTTTACAATGTGAAAAGTTTGTGCTGTATGGACGTTTCTGTGAAAAATTATGAATTTCGACTTTACTACAGAGAATGCCAAAACTAATCAATTTGTCACTTTTCTAGAAATTCGTAACTTTTCACAGACACATTCAAACAGCACAAACTTTTCACATTTGTAAAGAGTAGATCAAAACCTATGTACTTGCGTTCTCAGAATTTTCCGCAGCGATACAGGTTTTTGGCGACCCAAGTTAAAATGATCAAAGTTTATATGTCCTTTTTCCATTTTCACCTCTGCATTCAGTGTGTATCAGAAGCTGGAAGGAAAAGTATACGAAAGCGAGTGACGTACGCTTTCAAATGAAATTAAAAGGATGCAAATCCGTTGAGATAGCGCAAACTTACAAATTTTCAAAAATGAAACGACAGAACTTTCGGGACGACCTAATAATCAAATCCGACAACTTGCAGATTCGACAGATTTTATGAACAACTAACATTATTAGAAAGGTTCCATTTAGTTGACAAGTATCATAAAAGCTTTGTGAATTGGCAGAATTTTGCGTCTCCACTAATAAACAAAGAGCTGGGTTGGGCGACAAGCTCATTTAACGCGGCCCCTGTATCAACCCCACCGTCCTCCTCATATGAAAAAATTTGTATCAAACTTCAAAGCCACTGCTTGTTTGGGAAAAGTTGATGGTCGATAAAATGATCGTTGAGTTGCTTGTTGGGTACTGTGAAGTTGCGGCTTAATTTTTGGCACTGTTTCTCTTCAAATGGGCATTACAAAAACAATCAAATTATTCTTTTAAAATTCCCAAAATTATCAGAACACACTTGAATTGGCTCTTTCGAGCCTTTCAAAGATTGGCAGAGAAACGTCGCAATAAACGAACAGCTGGGTCAAGGGCAGACTCTGCTGAAGCCTCTGCTGCAGGCAAGTGCGACAACCATCCCGCGCTTACTTGGGGAACGGACATTCCCTGTGTGCCCGCGAACAAAAAACGGCTTCGAACATCGAATGCAGGCATGCCTCGGCGCCGTATACTCTCCTGCAACACACAGCAAATTCCTCTCATGCGGAGAGTTCGACGTTACATTTACAAAGTTTTTGCAGCCTAAATTTGCGCAATAAGAAATGACGTGTAAAATTAATTTGAAAGAAAAGTGTTTTTTTTTCAATGAAGGGGTGAAAAACCAGAATTATTTCTGAAAATGACTTTCAGCGAAGCGGGGAAGAGAAAAAACAATAGTGTAAATTTTTTGAATATAATACTTAACAATGTTCTAAATCAGTTTGCGTATATGTAAATATTAAATTGCCCCGAAAGTTTTCTCGGTTTATTTCCATCGCTTACTAAAACTCACAGAACACCAATCTATAAACGGTCTAGGCACCATTTGATTCAGATTTTCATCTTCCTTCTTACAGCTATATTTGCGTTTTGATTAACCCTATCTTTGCGATGCCATCGCCATAGCTTTTTGAGCAGCTCAACATAAAGCCAAACGTTTCTGAATTTTGAAAATTTTTATCTTGACATTTCCAAAGAGCGCTGGTAATCTTTGTGTAAAGCAAACCTGTGGCTACATTGTACCTAATTTAAATTACATGGGGCACTTTTGGAGTCCGTCATAATTATTTATTCAGTAAAAACCGCGGCTTGATTCCTTTAACACGTGAAAGTACCGAAAATTCTAAAAGCTGATTTTTTGAAGCAAATCAAACTTAGTTTGCATTTTTTTTGCATAAATAATATTCAATAATAAACAAGATTTAATTCGCAAAAACTTCAAGAGTTTCCATGTTTTTGCTTAGTTGCGTCTTTCACGGCTTTGCCAAAAATCGAGACCTTCGAAGAAATAATTTAGAGAGCTAAGAACAGCACATCATGAAAATCTAAAAATGTTAATATATAGCCCGAGAAATGCTCTATTTGGGTCATGCTTAAACTTTTCAGAAATTTTGAAACGAAATTTTCAAAAATTAGCTGAACTTTGAGCAGATAATGGCGGGTGAAGAATTTTAGCAACTATTAAAAAAGCATACAGGATTGTGGTTAGAAAATGTAACCACAAGAAAGTGAAGGAAAAGCTGCATCGAATGCATTTTACAACTCATTCAGGTCTTCATTGTGCATGGCCTTATAGTGGTCTGAAAAAATCGACAAAACTTTTGGGACCACCTAATATATACCCAGAAAAATTCTTGCTACCTTTGAGTAAAATATTAGTTGCTTCAAAACTTCGTACTTTCGCACAATTTTAAAAGGATTGCAATTTTTTTATTTTTATGAACGCTTGTCCTGATTTGGGAAGAAATGACATTTTAACTGTGGCGCTTTGCGACTTGACAAAAGACAAGAGATAAAAACGGAAAATATTAAGCTTGGGTGATTTTAGATATCTTTCCAAAAACTCAAAACTGCGCAGTTTGGGCAACACTCAGTAGCATATGTTACACAACCTATGTTTTCTAATGAGCGAATATGTGCAAATTGAACAGCTCGATGAAGTGGTATTATTTTAGAAAAAACATTCAACATGGCGTCACTATTCATTAATTTTGGAAAATTCAAAATGATTTGTCTGAATCGTCGATTATCATAAACTTTGCTCATTTGGTAAGATCAATTGGAATCTTATTCTATGACTGCGCAAGTTGTGGTTACGGTTTTTATTTGGCGAGCTTGTCAAAAGCAATTGGAGAGCTGAAGAACGATCCACTTGCTTCGGTTTTATCTCTGCAATTTACTTACCAGAGGAGACACCGAATTCACCAAATTGACCGAATACACGATTTCTTCTTTCAAAGAGTACCAAGCGAATACTTCCCAATGAAATAAGAATTTTTCAAATCTTTGTACACCCACATTCAAGACCGCTAATGTAGGATACCAATAATAATAACGATGTATGTATTTTTTTGTTAGGAAAGTGCAGCTTTTGGCCTCGCCCTTCCCTTGTGTAGTGACGCATGCCATTTGCGGTAAAATTAGTGTAATTAGTGTAATTTTTTGCTCGTTTCGACCTTCATCTATAATGTATTCTGGTAGTTTTGGCCACGGTGTTTGTCTATCATTGATAAACGGCGGACCTGACCACCAGGAATTATCTACTATTTGTGAGTCGCCATATAGACGAATCACGCTGACCTTGCAAGATAGTTCTTTTAAGATGAAGCTTGTCAAAACGGGTACCGATGAGAATCGCGAGTAGTTCCATCCTTGGTATGGTCATTGTTCTAGTCTTGTCCCTCATGAGAGCTAGTCTTTGGCGAGCCATCAAGAGATTTGATTTGTGTTTCCATATTTGTCTATGGTGCGTATGTACACCGCAGCTGCATACGATGTTACTGAGGCATCCACAAATGTATGTATCTCATCTGATCAGCTTCGCCATTTACCATAACTGGGCGTGCTAATTTTACCTGATACCCGGCAGCATTTTCACACATTGTTTTCCATCTTGTGGCATCTTCTGCGGAGAGGTGGTCGTCCCATTCATAATTTGCCTTCCACAGAGACTGTAAGAATACCTTTGCTGGAAAGGAGTGGTATGAGATACCCCAAGGGATCAAATGTAGTGTGGATGGACTGGAGAACTTGTCTTTTGGTTGGAACTTCTTGATATGCTATTTTGCATTTGAGCGCAAAGGTGTCACCTTTTGGACCTCATGGTATCCCCAGAGTTTTTACGGTATTACCTTTGTAAAAATCTTGCTTTGCAATGATTTTGTTGCATGCCAGATCGTTAGTCATGAATTGCCTTAAATTCGTGGCTCGAAAGTTCTGGAACATTTTCAAACTAGAACTGCTATTTCTCGAAACCTAAAGCATATACATCAGCGAGAGGTACCATTCGATAGAGCAAAGCAAGCTCTTTAAGATGGTATGCAAAAGTTCGCACCAGCCTCGACCCACCGTAAGTTTGCACCCAAAATCTGAGTCGAACTGAAATTCAAAAAAATTGCGAAAAATTTATATCTTTGTTCAAACAAACCCTACGGATCTCCAACTTGCTCACAAAAATTGCATACCACATCAGACACTCATATACACCGTTCCTTTATTTGTTCCTCTTCTGGAAATTGAAAAATGAAGATCACCATGTTTATATAAGAACGAAGCTGTGCTGTTTCCACCCATGTAATTGAATAGTACAAGCCCTTAAAAGTATAACCGTAAATTTTCAGCTTTCTACAGGCCCTAGTTTCCGAAAATTACTGAATTGAACTCTCCTCACACGGGTGTTCCATGCTGAAATCAATATTTTTCGAAAACTAGGGCCCGCAGAATGCTGAAAATCTACGGTTATACTTTCAAGGGCTTGTACTATACAATTACATAAGTGGAACCAAAGTAGCTTCGTTTTTGTATAAACATGAAAATTTACGTAATCCAATTTCTAAATAAGGAAAAAATACAGCAATGATATGTATGGGTTTCTGATGTAATGTGTAATCTGTATGAGCAATTTGGAGATCCGTAGGATTTGTTTGAACAAAGATATGAATTTTTCGCGATTTTTTAAATTTTAGTACGACTCAGATCTTGGGTGCAAACTTGCGGTGGGTCGAAGCTGGCGCGAACTTTTGCATACCATCTTGTAGAGCTTGCTTTGCTCTATCGAATGGTAACTATATCTGATGTATATGCGTTAGGTTTTGAAAAATAGCAGATCTAGTTCGAAAATGTCCCAGAACTTTCGAGACAACCTAATATTTTTGAAGGCGGTTTTACACAATTGATATCTTATATATAAAGCTGAATGTCAGTTTGTCTGTATGTATGTATGTATGTATGTATGTACGTATGTTCCGAATAGAAAATTCCATTTCTGAACCGATCCGGACCAAACTTGGCACACATACACTACGGGCCCCGGCGGGTGTCATAGGCTACTTTCGTATCGATCGATATCGATTTTATCGATTTTTATCGATTTTTTTGCTGAGTTCACTTACGGGGCTGGGTGTTGGCACAGGGGGGTAATCGAGCATGGGGATTCCGAATACAATATTGGTTTTCAAGATTATCGATTACTTTTATCGATTTTATCAATTTTTTGCAAAGTTTGAGCTACGGGGCTGGGAGTTCGCACAGGGGGGTAATCGAGCATGGGGATTCCGAATACAATATTGGTTTTCGAGATTATCGATTACTTTTATCGATTTTATCGATTTTTTTGCAAAGTTTGAGCTAGGGGGCTGGGAGTTGGCACAGGGGGGTAATCGAGCATGCTGATCATCCCCAAGGGGGGTGATCAGCATGCTCGATTACACCCCTGTGCCAAATTTCAGCCCCCTAGCTCAAATTTTCAAAAAATCGATAAAATCGATAAAAGTAATGGACGATCTTGAAAACTAATATTGTATTCGTAATCTGCATGCTCGATTACCCCCTGTGCAAACTCCCAGCCCCGTAGCTCAAACTTTGCAAAAAATCGATAAAATCGATAAAAGTAATGGACGATCCTGAAAACTAATATTGTATTCGGAATCCCCATGCTCACTTCCCCCCTGTGCCAACTCCTAGCCCTGTAGGTGAACTCTGCAAAAAAATCGATAAAATCAATAAAAGTAATCGATAATTCTGAAAACTAATATTGTATTCGGAATCCCCATGCTCACTTCCCCCCTGTGCCAACTCCTAGCCCTGTAGGTGAACTCTGCAAAAAAATCGATAAAAATCGGTAAAATCGACATCGATCGATAACGAAAAGTGGACTGTGACACCCGCCGGGGCCCGAAGTGTATGTGTGCCAAGTTTGGTCCGGATACGGCGGAGCCGGGTAAGCCAGCTAGTTTTCTTATAAGTAAGTCAGTGTCATCTGCTGTTAATAGGACGTTATCAACATAGAAATTTCTTTCCAACTCGTCGTAGATTTCTGCATCATGCCCCCGCTGTTTGCTTATCCCATATTTTATGGAGATAGCTGAGAAGAAAGGTGATGCGTTAATCCCAAATGAAAGCCGACAAAAGCGCAGTATTTTAATGTTGTTGGGTGTGGGTGGTTCATTGACGTATTTCAGCCACAAAAACCTTACTGCATCTCTTTCCGATTTCTGTAGGTAAATCATATGGAAAGCCTTTTCTACGTCCGCTATCATTATTTTAGAACCAAGTCGCGATCGTACTAATATTTCGCATAAACTTGAAAGGATGAGTGGACCTTGATGTATAACATCGTCTAGGCTCAGTTCACCTTTTCTTTTTGATGATGCGTCGAGACACGAGTTTTTGTTGTTTCGCTTTAAGTCTTGATAACGGCTTGATGAGGTATGTAGTAGCAGGGATTTTCGTGGTTAGGTCTTTCTATTGTTTCTTCTATGAAGTTTTTCGCCAACTGTTCTAATAATAATTTTACAGTATTCTATCCAACAATGCGGATTTCTTTCCTTCATGTTTACGAGTTGGTGTAATCTACTGGCTGCTAGTGCGTAATTATCGGCTAGTTCCATCTTGTTAGTTTTCCAAGGGAAGCAAACGAATATTTTATTGTCTTTGAATTGAACTTTTGAATAGAATTCTTATATAATTTGTTGATTTTCTTCTTCTTTACTAGCGAAATCCTCTATACCAACGCTTTGTAATTTCCACAAGTCACTACAGTCGATGTTCTTTCCAGTGGTGGTCTGCATTATACACGTCCGCACCATTTGTTCATAGTATCTTTCATTTTCTTCTTCGCTCCAGTTCCTCGTTCTTCCGGAAATTGTAGGACCAAAAAATGTGGAGGTTACAAATAAACCCGAGGGCAGTCTTTTACGTCCCTGTCTATAACAATGTTGAAGTAGTCAATGCCAATGAGAATCTGCGGCGTTACCGATGCTGGCAGTTGTTCGTATCCAAAAAAAGTGTTCTTCCAAAAATGCAAGATCTTCCTTGGAAACATTTTTCACGCGGATATCCGGAATCATTTCATTGTATGTCAGAAATCGAAATCTATTCCATTTCCTTCATTATTAAATAGTTTTATGTTAGCATGGTCCACTTTTTTCTTCTCTGCTCGGCCTCCAGAGCTTGTGACTGTTATTTCCGTTTCTGATTGTACTTGGACTTGCATCCGTCTGACTAATGTGGCGCTTACAAAGGATTGATCCGCCGCGGAATCGAGCAAGACATAGACCACCTCCACGGTTTTGCTGTTATTGTTCAGAATGCATGTAGGCACAATCATGAATCGCGAATGCCCGTCTGTCTCTTCTTCATAAGCAGGTTCTTCCATAGGATGTGATGTTGCTGCTGAGATATTTTTGAGATAATTTCTATTGCTATTGTAATCTTTTCTTGGTGGCGTAGGTGATCGTGAAAATCTTATTCTTCGCACCTGTTTGCGTGAATCGTATTTCGTCTTGGGTAGTGTTCTTGTCCTCTGGTGCGTTGCCTTTGCGGCATAGCTTTCTAGTGACGTGCTTCTTTCTCTCCGTCGCAGCCCATCTTGTCTTATCCAAGGTTTGGGAAATTTCCCCTTTTGGGGCTTCTTGTGCCACGACGGTTTTGTTCTTCAAGAAATCTATTTGTTGTCTTCTTACAAAGGATAGCGTTGTGAAATCCATGGCAGACAACACAATTAGGCTTATGACAGTCGTTGCTATGATGTTTCACGCTAAAACATTTCCAACATGCATGTAAAGCTTTCAGCTTTTCAATCTTTTCCTCTCTTGTACGATAGATGGGACAATTCCGAAACAGATGATTTCTGTGACACCCTAGGCAAGTGATGTCCGTTCTTACATGTAGAAGAAAAAGATCGTCGCCTTCCTTTGCAGTTTCTTTTCTTCCTTCCAAATGCTCCTGTCGTTTTACTACTGTGGTGATGTTGTTCAAAAGGTCGTCCATGCTCCATTTATCGCCAGAATCAATTTCTTTTCGCATTACCTCATCTTGCACGTTCTTACTGAACTTTTCCAATACCATGCTCGTCATATATGTGGTATCTACGGTTTCTCCCCGTCTTCGCAGAGTGGCGATGATAGCCTGTATGCATTCAGGTTATTTACCAACGATCTTGGCTCGTCCCTGCTTTGTTTCATGGTTTTGAGTTGATTTATCATTATCATTGTAATTCTTTAAGAATCTTGAAATTGTGCTTTTAACTGCTGGACAGCTTTGTCATAAGATTCGCTTGTTTTAGGAAACATCCTGAGCGCTCGAGCTGCGTCTCCTTTGCAGCAGCTGAGTAAGATTGAGAGCTTCTCAATCTTGGAGTAAGGCTGTTTTTCCACTAGCTCTTGAAATATTTCCCAGAAAGAGTCAAACTCGCTTGCTTTTCCACTGAACTCTGGGATTTTTATCCCACCTAGTAGATGTTTACTGAGGGTGAACCCCGATTCAAGTCTTTGCCCAGCTGTGCAGCCTACCCTTGCTTCAGATTCTTGTGTTGTCATGAGTTCGAACTTTACGGATGCCTCTTGGCACTCTAGTTCAACTAGTCTGTTTTCTAGCTTATCATAAAGTTCCGTGGTAAGCTGTAGTAGTTCGTCTCCTCTTTTTTCTTCCCAATAATCATTGAATTCCGTTTCCTTTGCTCTCTCGTACTCTTTCGCTTCCGGATTGTCCACTATCTCACAAAGTGCGATAGTGCTTTCCTCATACGCTTTCCATGTCTTTTCCTTTTGTGTTTGTAATCTGTTACATAAGTTTTTTTACAACTGTAGATTTCATAAGTATAAAGTGTTGTAATTCTTTCACTTCCGTTGGAAAGTTCCAAGGCTCTTTAGCCTCTTTTAACAGGCTTGATAAGCCATTGAGCAAACGGGTCAGCTTCTGCTTCGCCGTTTTCAAGTTGAATGCCGTAGTCATAACGTTGAGCGATTCGATGTATGTCGAGCACTATGGGATTGTTTTCTCTTTCTCCGGTTTATATTCTGTTCTGATCAGATATCATTGGAATGTGTAGGCTTACTTCTTCCATCACACATTCTTACAGAAATTTTCCCATGAGGAAGGATCTCAAAACGTGCTTCGCAGTGTTATGAGATATCTTTACATCGCGCGAACAACTTTTATCAACATTTATATATGATACATAAAGTCCTCCTAGAATCTCCTTAATCACATGTAGGCGCCAAAATCTTGGAATAAGCTTGCAAGTGTCTTGAAGTGATTGCACAATTAGCCATTGCTAATTTCGTGAACCGCGGTCAGTAGGACAGGGCGGAGGAACCCTGGGTTTTCTTCTAGTTTGCCGTCTCTAGGGTTATTTTTATTCGGCTCACCCAAGCCGGGTTTTCTACAAGTTTCCTTCTGTCGGTTTCTTATTCTAAGGGCAACCGCTCCCTGGTTTTCTACGTGTTTTCCTTCTCTCGGTATATTCACTTAGAGAGGCTACCGCTCCCCGGTTTGCAGGAGTTTTCCTTTTCAGTATTTATGGCAGTACAATTGTAAGCAACTTCTAACCTTGAGGTGACATAAACAAAACGAAGAGAAATCACGGAAAGTACCAGATAAAAGAAAGGCACTATATTAAGGTGATCAGGCTCACCAAAACACCTTCAATCAAGTACTTGCGCGCTATTTCCCTCTTTTAGGCTCTAGCGGGCTCTGCTAGAGCTCGTGGTATTTTGAGTTTTTTTTCTTGAATTTCACCATGGCCACTGCTTCCTGCAAGTGCGGCCTTTACCAGTTCGGCCGATGCACCATGTTTTGAACCGAGCATCCGGTCCAAATATGTTGAACCACACAGCAGATTGATATTTATTAATACAGCATAATATGTACTACTGCCTAACTGCTATCATGCTTTACCTACTTCCATTCCAGCTTCAGGACACAAATATTTCCCATGGCTCAAATCTAATCTTATGAAGAACAACTCTAAGGTCACTACTTTCGTTCCCTTTTATGTTTACTGGCAAGTTACTATTACCTTTCTGGAAGATACTAATAGCAGGTAAACGTGGGGGAAGCCCATGGTACCGACCCCATAAAGAAGACTAATGGAAGAAGCCCTCGGCATGACATTGCAACGGTCTTTATACCAGCCGGCAGCAAAGAACGCTCGTCTGCGCTCAACGCGGAGACGTTCTGTCATCATGAACGGGAGTTCATGACAAGCTGAAATAGTCTAGGTAGATAAGCTTAAATGCCTCTATCAATCCATTGAGTTTGGCGTGTGGGAGGACTTCTACATATAAACAAGATTCATATTATGTGTTTTACACTGAAAGAGCGGAGGATTTTCTTCTTTTCGTAAGAATAACCTTTAATAAATCATAGAACCCTACATAAGTACGGCACAGATGTTTTCGGATGTTGCTAGCACTCACAGAATTTTTCACTGCAACTGAATCCATACAATTTATTTAACTATTGACTTGATTGAATTATGTAGACTGCTATCTTTTCATTGTTGAAATACGTCTAGAAAACAAGCTTGGATTGTCCCAAAATTGTAATTGTTATGAATGTTGTGCCTATTTATTTCCATCAAATTTGCCGTTTGCTTAGATCTCCTGCCGAACTTCTACCGAAGCCTACAAGAATGCAAAAGAGCAAATGTGGCATTTTTTCATTTGCTCTGCTGAAGGAATTGAAAGCTGTAGAGATGATGTACCGTATACAGAGGCTGGTAAAATTCATAAAATTCAAGTTTCGGCTCCCTCTCCCTTCTCAATTTGCGATCTGCTTCTCCAAAGGGATTTGACAATGAGCAATACCGAAGACTCATTGTAGCAATTTTAGAGTAGATGCGCTTTGAATCGTCTAGGGATGACGTTGTTTTATTTTATGATCTTAGACCATTGAAGGATATTTTTAGGCTCCAAATTATCTATCAGATTAGGAAAAATTCACAAGCTGCATCATTTTGCAGATATTTCTGCAATTCGTAACTATGAAAAGCCTACGAAAGCTTTTATCCACAAGCATAATACCGATGTTATCTGAGCTTTAGCTCCGTCAAACTAATCGTATTGCAGTTTGCATACCTTCTGTAGCTTTTAATCAGCTATAATATAAATCAGCTAGCATTTGTTCGGTGTGAGACTGTTTGTATCTATTCAAATGTTTAAATGTACTCTGTGTTACTAAGAGGTTCCTGATAAAATGTATTTAGAGAACTAAAATAAGCGTGCGGATGGTGATACACTACTGCTTTTTGAGCATTGTGGAGCAAACTAGAGAGAAAACCCCTACACTGGATTGTTTTAGCTGCGAAACTCGAGCACATCTGCTATGCAAAGCTATATCTAACTGCATCCGCACAACAAAAGTTCAACTTCCGGTTAAAGCTTTGCTTTAACCTGCTTTGACCTTCTTCCTGCTTTAACCCACGCCTTGACCTTGCGAGGCTACAATGATACCGCTACGCAATGGATGCACACCTGAAAATTGATTTCTAGCTAATGCCAACCATCTCAAGCATTGGATGCTTCCCGCAGATTCAAATACACACCTTGTATTTTGTTTGTTTTTTTGGCTAGGGCCGCATATCTCGACTCTTGGATGCTTCTCACATGTAAGAAAGCACCTGACTAATATAACATCTATAACATATTTCTCTGCTAACAATAGCATTGTTTTGAAGATGTGTTGACCACTTTCAAAGGTAAGCCAACAAGCAGTGTGATATCAGCGATCGCCTTCGAATACGCTAAGACGTGATATGATGAAGAAGCTTTTGTCAGATCATAGCCATATAATTTCTTAGTAATCTTTAGGTCAGAGGCATGTGGTTCTTCAAATCCTGTAAGAAAAGCAGATGAATGTTTGACGGATGTTAGCTTCAGCGACGGCGCTTTTTCATTGATTCGATAGCACGACATCAATAAGCAACATTTTCCTCCGTAATACTCTTACGCATGAACAGAGGGTTAGCACACGTCACAAAAAATGATATTTAGAAACTGCATTAGTCCAAGGTGTATAGAACAAGCTAGAAAAGCGGCACAATCAACAGAAAGTGCTGCGGAAGTGTTCTACTTCAAAACAGTTCTCCCTATGGGTCCATACAACATTCTTAGGAAGGAGGAGGAAGGCGAAAGCGACGATTCTTGTGCGGACACTGTGGTCCCTTTCTTACAATCATCGTTATTCTTGCCTAAACACCGTGAAGCATGCCTTGCTGTAATGCTCCGTTGTATCTGCCTGAGGCATTTCAAATCACGAATCCACCACATTCGTAATCATGATAGGGGTGTGCTACCCATTGCTGGTATTTCGCATTTTTGCAAACATTGGTGTTCTATCTCCTTTCCATGAATGTTGGTCATAAGAGTGAGCGAAGTTGAAGCCTAGTCGTTAGAATGCCGCAGTTAATTTCGTGTCCTACTTGTGCAAGGTTGTGCGGCCACTTTCCCAACGTTTTTCGTTTATGGCAGCAAAACTCTTATCATTCCTCTCAACCCTGAAAGAAAACTCGATGGATTACAAGCACTAAACACACTGTTATTCTGCGCTACATCATTATACTGTAATGTTGCTAAGGTAGACCCGTGGCTTCAGAGCAAAATGCACATCATTAGATGAATTTTGTTGAACTGATGAGCTGACTTTAAATCTAACGTCCTTATCTGCTGCGCGCTTGTCTATAAGAAGTTATTGACATTTGAAGGTCCGAATTTGGTAAACATTCAGTCCCACACCTTAGAAAAGTAGTTGTTCAAAAACACTTAACTCTGTGCTTCCAGGTATGTGTGCATTTCTTTCGGACGGTATACTTAATCCACGAATTATGTGCTCCAATCTGGTTTTCTAAAGCAATTTACGCGCTACCCTAATAATTCACAACTGTGATCGCAACTTCTTTCAAAGAGCGGCGCAGCAGATATGGAAGGTAGATTTGGAATTAGCTCAACAAGACGGGCTGGAACGCTTCACAAGGGCGATCCATAGGCAAGCTCGTTAGCTATCGTGATTGTTGATGTTTCATATGATCAGAATGTATTTCCGAACGTCGGTCATATGCGTAGGTTTTTGTTCTCTAGGCTTGCGTTTATCATTGAGTTTCCACTTTATTGGTGCATTATAGAATATTGATGCCATCATCTACAAAGACTCTGGCTGAATTTGCAGACTACTGGCAAACGATGAGGAAAGTTACCCACAAAGCCTTTTGCCGAGTTTTTAAGTACTATTCAGGAGCTTTCTTCAACTTAAATTTACAGTATAGCATGGAGTTTGAGAAAGCTTTGAATAATGAGAGCTAGCCGCTACTTAATCTGAGACCAGGGCCCGGCACAGATCGTCTGGAAGCAGGCTGGACTTCGTTTTCGGAGAAAAAAGCAAACGAGATATCGTTTTTGACGAATAGGGGCCGAGCACCAAGAATAAGCGCCATTTAGTCGAGCACAAGCTTTTCGGACAGGTTATCACACGACTGACATGCTCTATCGTGTATGGCGAAAAGTGCGCGCGATTTGAAAGCGAGGCTAAAACAAACAAATTGCTTGTTTACAGCTCTCAAATAATCTTATGGCACCAAAATTGGATTGTTTACATGAAAAATTATTTGCGGAAGAATTATGTAAAAAGATTTAGAAACTTATGTGAAGTAATACCTTTTCCAAATTTAGATCGTCTCCAGACGGCCACCAGACAATCTGAGATCGTCTGGAGCATATATTTCCGTCAATTTACATAAGTTTCGAATCTTTTTAGCATGGATGGATGCCCCGGTCAAAAATCTATCCCTGAGCATAGGAACAACTTCAAATCATCCCCCGTCCACTGTTTTTTGCCCTCTTTTTTTTGCATTTTGCCTTGTTAGATATCGCGCCCTATCGTCAAATTTTCTGCACCCTCCCCTTTAAATTTTCAGCTTCGTTTCAGCTTCATCTCCTACAATTTTAACGATTTCTTTCATTCTTCCGCAACATCGGTAAGATTTACCCAAATGGTCTGTCTTCCTATACTGCTTAAAAATTTTAGTTGGATTGCGCCGTCTTAACGAACGAGCATTTTATCAAAGTCACTAGAACTCGGATAAAGCTGTTTGAAAGGCACAAGGTCAGGTGAGCGCATGTTCTAGGCGCTTAGAAGTTTTTTAGAATAGTGAATTTAGTGAGATGACGAAGGAACGGGGAAAAAGAGAATTAGTAGTAGTTGGATATAGCGACTCCTCGTTCGCTTCAATAATGCCCGAGATATATTTTTTAGTCTTTCAAAGTGTTTCACTTACGTTAACGATCATTATCTACTTTAGGTGTTCTGGTGCAATGTACGTGTTGAACCTCATTGTCTATCCTTGCTTGGTCGGCTTCCCTCTCAATCTCTGCTCCCCAACATCTCTTTTCCGAAATCGGAGTATCTCTCTCCTTCTAGGCAATCTACGCATATGGTGTGCCTGCGGGCCTTTCACTACCGTGGAGAACTGCTCACCCTTTGCGATTTGCTTGAGATGATCAAAGAGGAGCAGCCGGATGTGCTCATACTGGTCAGCAAAACTTTATAACTTTTAAGTAAGTGAAATATATAATCACTGTATTGCAGATGGGTCCATTCGTCGACAGCAAAAATACTTTCATCCAACGCGCAGAGTTTCCAGAAACTTATGATTGTGTACTTGAACAGTTGAGCGCAATGTTGCCGAAGCTCTTGATGGGTCAGTTGACATTTCATGAGTTTACACCTTTCTTTTCCGAATTCAAGTGAAGTAGTTCGTCTTTTAGTTTCCTCCGAATTCTTGGTGATTATTAGCTTTTTAATTGTTGGACTGAGCTGATTGTGCAACCTGCGCCTTCGCGAGATCTTTGTTGTGCTCCTTTTATCCCAGCCTCCTTCAGACATTAGCTCCGATGTTTGCAAGAGAATGGGAAAGGTATCGTCGATTCGTTGACCGCACGGACTTCTCAAACGCTGCGGACCACGCGCGGCGCGGCTGAATTGTCGCAAGAGCGCGACTCTTACAATGGCGAGTTTGTACTGGAACAAGCGTTTTACCTCGAGATGCGTGTTCCTTAGTGATGTCCAGTCCGTGCGATCAACGAATCAACTATAAGTCGTCTTTGGCCAAATTTCTCTTTTATCCGTAACTGCACAATTCAGCATTTGCATTCGGTTCCTAAGCAATGTATTGTCCGTAACAGTGGGATAGAAATAGCTCTAACGAGTAGCGAGGTAGGTGCTCGGAATAGTTTGGTAGCAGTTTTTGAGGACGTTAAGGTGGTACATAATAGCGTAAAGAATCAATCTTTTCTTTTCAGATTATTGCACATCTAAGCAAAAATGAATGGCATCGCTCTAAAGATCAGAAAATCGTAATTGAATCTCTTAGCTTTACATCTGCTCAGGTTCGTTTTATTGTCACTATATAGAGCCATTATTGAGTATTTTTCTAGTCAACGATCCTTATACCCACTGTATCCACCATGTCTGCCAATGTCTACAGAAGAAAGTCTGAAGATACGTGCGCTGCAGAGTCCTCCACATATTATTATAGCCTCATCGGTTTTATCCCTTCAATAAAGGTATTTGGAGTTATAATTAGCAAAAACTGTCATATGTGTGCCTAATAAAACAAAAGCACCTTGTTTAGAATATAAATGGCACCGTAGCGGCGAATCCCGGAATAATGGCACGTGGAGGTATGGGCACTTTCCTTTCAGTATTTCCAGCGAGCCCGGCAAAGTCCCTAACAAGATAAGTCGAGGATGTCATCTCACAGTTGAGGAGGCAAGGAAGTTGAGAAGGTAGTATTATCTATTTAGTGCGCATTAGACTTGACGTATTTTTTACATGATCTTATTCAGATACCTGCTGCTGACTTTTGTACTCGTGTCTGAGTCTGAGCTTGCGAGACTCAAAGCTTTTTTTGAGAATGCTATTCATTTTATTGCAAAAACTTGACGGAGAAAGAGAAGGTAGTTTCATTTCGAATTCGAACTCATTGTCGTTAAGATAACTCCTTCAGGTCCTCACTTTCGTCTTGAATTCCTTCCACTGCATCTCCGTCGAATTTATTGGAAAATCACGCTGCTTAATAGTATGAATGAATCCGGTGCGAGTTGTCCTTGCTCCAATTTCGTTGATGCTTTGATTTTTTTATTGTTTTAATGTGTTTCCGAATTTTGTGTAACCCATATGGGGTCCCCCAGCTTTCTTTATGACCAACGTTGCAAATACTATTGCGTTCTCCTGATAAGTGTGTCCTAGTGATGCCGAACTAATTATGTTTAGCAAATGAATACATGATTAAATTATGACAATGTTGTTTCAACAAGAATTGTTCTGACCCTTTACTGTAATGTATCTTTTGTTGGAACAACATTGTCCTAATTGAAGCATATAGTATATATTTATTTGTTAAACATGATCACTTCGACAACACTAGAGGGAGATGATCACTTTTTAACAGCAGCGCCTCATATTGAGATAGTAGAAAAGCTAAGGATTGAGACTGATCGGGAAAGCATCGATTGCAATTTTCAAGCTGTTTTGCAACTGGTTTTTCCATCCTTGGTAATAGCACTACTAGTTCTTCATCCTTAGCAATAAATTGGACAATTTACTTCTTGAAAAGTTTGTGTTAATCTTGAGTAAAGAACTTGTGAAGTGTAAATAACATTTGTAATTTCCAAGAACACCTGAATTATTTGGAAAATGCCGAGTTTCCAAGCTTCAAGAGGTACTTCCTCATTATAGTGGAAAGAACAGACCGATCTGGCTTTCAAACTACTAACAGTCAAAGGATGGGGGGGGGTACAGCAAGGGTCAAAGAAGACTTCGTAAAATTTCTGAAAATCAGGGTGGACTTCGTTTTTAAAAACTCTAGAAACGGAGTCGTGCCGGGCCCTGTCTGAGACATAAAAGAGATATAAAGACTAAAAAACTGTCCGCTTCAATTAAACGATTATAGTGAAAAACTTCGTGTGTTAATTCATTGTCACAGCTTTTAAAACGACTGAGCAAATCGGAAATCGCATAATAAAAAACTGCTCTTCGTAAGTGCTGATTTGAAAATGATCAAATGTTTATCCTGTTTGCACTCTTTCGAGTCATTAGCTGAATCTAGGTGCATTATTTTCTTACCGAAGTCCACTTAATATGGTTCGTTGCATGGCATTGCATATGTGCATCGCTATTTCAACTTTTTACAACTACTTATCATATAGAATCCTTGACGCTTCAGGCTAGAAGCAAGGTGAAAAGTTCTGGTAGGAGATCCCCTAATGAAAAAGGAAGAAAGAGAGAGTTTCTGAGAAAAAACGACGACATCGATGAGGAAGCTTTAGCAGGCGCGAAGGCCATTGATGAGTCATAGCACTTTCAGAAAACCTTTAGTTCGGACCAGTTCTAATTCAATCTTTGGAGCGATTCCTCAAAAGCTAATCAAAAATTAAAACAGACAAGAAAAGTTGCTAACGGTCATAAAAGATTTGCGATTTTATCAGCGCTAAAACGAACTTTTAATTGTTGTTCTACAAGTTATTGGTTGGGCTAATTTCTCATTCCATGGTATGCGTTTGAAGTCGTGTTGTTGAAGCTTTCAGGAACTGAAAATCTAAGAAGGTATGCGGAGAGCACGTACCTATTCCAGGGGCTCACTCGCCTCCAAACGGCATCACACCCGGTTAGAAATGAGTTATACTTGGTGTTGAAATGCATGACATTTGTTAACAGGAATTGTATGATGTATCCCACCAAAGGAAACGGTTGAAATCAACCATGAAGTCTCGACATGGACGTTGGTAGGGTTGTAGGCTGACTTGCATTACGGCTATGCATCGGGGCTTACATAAGCCCCAGGCCTTATCATTATTCCAATCCATACGCAATTCAGCACATAAGCACATCTGGAGCAGATATCTACTTCGATATGGATGGTTTTGTCACTGGCGTACGAACTAGAGTAAAAGTCTCCATTTGTCTCTGTCCCTTGTTATACATATATCCAAGACATTTTTACTTGTCGGTGGTCCGCAAGGAAGTGCAAGAATCGTTACAGCTAATTTTTCAGCTGGTTCACCAGTTCCACGAACAACTCTGCTCCATCCGTTGTTCATCCTTCTACAGACGGTCTGCTTTGCGAGAAATTGATTCTGGCGTCCTTTTTACGAAGTGATCGGCCTCTTGGTACTTCGCTTTCACAGAGACCCCTTTGTATCGCGGAGACGGAATACTTCTTGAAGGCAGCGTCCAGGCAAATCTGGAGCTATGGGAATTTTACGTGGAAAGTACTTTTGGGGCCCTAACTAAGGCACTGCCCAAGCGGCACTCAGGTAGTGCTCTAACGGCTGAGATATTCCGCTCGAAACTGGACCCCGCGATCGTATTCCGCATGGATTCATGGCGCAAAGCGTGGATCCTGGCGCGAAACTGCCACGAATCCACGCGAATACGATCGCGGGGTCCAGTTCCGAGGGGAATATCTCAGCCGTTAGAGCACTACCTAAGCTTGGGCAGTAGCTTAGTTAGAGCCCCAAAATTACTATCCACGTGAGATCCCCATGTGTCCAGACTTGCCTGGACGCTGCCTTGTACAAACTGCTAAAAGAGGTTGCTCGTGTCCGTCAATTCTTCAGTAGCTGTGTGGTTGATGAGCTTTCGACGTGGTCCGCAGTGTCGCGCCAGGTCTCTCCTGCATAGCTGAGCACTGAAGGAAGGATTTTGATCTATAGCATGGCGAGGGGCGATCGCCAATCGCCACGACTGGCGTTTTGGCGACTGCACATTAGATTATCGATTGCTGGCATGAGTTTACATGTCAATCAATACCTATCCAACCTGTAGTCGCCAAAACTGGCGATCGCCAATCGCTACTATCGTGGGAAACTTTTCACCGCGAACGATGGGGCCCCATCGCTCATTTTGTCGCACGACCTTTTTCCTGGCTTAGTTTCCTGCAGAGCGATCACCTGGTAGTTAATGTACTCTGCAGCATTGAGAAGAGCCTTCAGGTCGTTGTTTGTGGAGCTCCTGTCAAGACTTATAGGTTCGAAGGGTAGGCTTGCAGATGTATCGTTTTTGTCAGATCCAAATGGCGATAAGCAACCTGACGTCGGTCTTGTCACCCTTAAGACAGTAAGTGAATTCAAGTCCGATATAAAGGTTCTTTCTATTCTTATTACCATTACTGGTAACAATCTTTTCCCTACTAGAGCAGACTTACCTAGCCGTGCTTTTGCCTTTCAATGCTTTTGGGATCAATTCAAAAGTTTCTTTCCTACCAATCAACACCCGTAAGAGAAAGGGCATTTTTGAGACGCAATTTAGTGCAAACAGCACCCGAATAATCTTACAACATCACTCTCCACCTTTGAGCAGACGTGCTTGCGTAAAGAAACTCCATATTTCTGACAATGAGAAGGCTTCTTGAAAAAAAGGTTAAAGAAATTGAGATCCGAAACTTATACAGAAACACTTCGGAGGACGTTACGTTGGTCACCTCATTCCTCTTACCGAGAACCGGCCAATCTTGTAATAGCTGAGTTCGCGAAAATCTTGAGCCAGTAGGAACCCTCCTTGTGTAATGTCCTGGGGCGGTATTTATCAATCTCGCGCACATGCTCTCATAGTTTGGGAACCTACTGCGGAGAGCAGCACGCCAGCAGCGCGAGCGGGCGCATATCCAGAACGCCTGCTGGCGTAAACTTTGCCTATAATAAAGACATGGAGACCCATCGTTTTTTATCGTTCTGTTCTTTCCTTTTGGTCATCGAGCACAGTTTTTGCATTTATATGCACATTTGGTGATTACGTCAACAATTGTAAGGAAGGATAAAGGGATTAGGATCTTTTCTTTTTTGAAAGCGTCGCAAACGGCCTATTTGTTTCAAATACAATACCGCTCATAATTCGTCAAAAAAGTCGCCGAACTGCGGCGCACTCCGCCACACTCCGCCACAGTGCGGCGGAGTGTGGCAGAGTGCGCCACACTCCGCCGCACTCTGCCACACTCCGCCGCACTGTGGCGGAGTGTGGCGGAGTGCGCCGCAGTTCGGCGACTTTTTTGACGAATTATGAGCGGTATTGTACCAGTAATTTCGTTGAATGTTTTGTATTGTACGACATTCATAGCAGTGGGATAAGTTAGAAATGCAGAAATGTATCGAAAAGTTTTGTTTTTTGGCTTAACGAGAACAGTACATATTAAATGGTATAAAATGGAAGGCTGGAATAATCCACATCAATTATCGGAAATTTCCATCACAATCATACTATCTGGATCTCACCTAGGACACTGCATTGGTTCAAGGGTCCGATCTGGCAAGTTTGGCTATGTCGGGCATGACAGGCCCGATCTCGACATATCGGGCCCTGCTGCTCCTTCAGGGATGGAGGACTTTATGTTGCCAAAGGTGGTTGGTCACGCGGACACCTGCGACGAAGTACGAGACCCCACACATCAGAAATATAACGGTTTTGTATCAGCTGTCCGCGCGGGGTGGAGGCTATTGACGACATATAGTCCCATACCCTCATTCAGGCTATGCTAAATAACCTCACAGAAATCACAGTTTAGACGCTCTCACCTGTCCGGGCTATATAACAATGGAAAGCGCCCGAACAGCTAGCGGGGGGCACCCGCCATACTTGATCCTCTTGATCCACTTGATCCGCTTGATCCGCCTTGTGCAAAACGCGCGCACACAGCAGTTTATCGTTTGGCGCCGAGGTAAAGAGAAATTTTGTATTATTACGCAAATTCGCTATACGCGACGCCAAATGCAAATTAGTGACTCGCGTTTTGTACGAAACTGGTCAGGCGAACCAAGCAAATCAAGTGGATTAGGAGGACCAAGTATGGCAGTACCGGAGATTGATAATACCCTCTACTCAGAGCACGCATCAAAACAGGTCAAAATTTTTAAATCTGACCCGCGTATTCGATGTCGCCCGGGCAAGGTATAATCCAGCGTAACTCTTGCATCGCAACCGTCACAGGTCATGCCGATCACGTGGGCAGTCGAAAAATAGTGCGTCTTGCGCGGAGACACAGAGAGATTTTTTAACCAGCACAAGATTAACGTCTAGTACGCCTTGAGTCGTGGTTATTGTTCATAGGACAGTATATGCATAAGAACGTTTAGAATGCAAGTCAAATGCCATAAACAACAGCTGATAGCTCGCATTCGTGAGGCGCATAGCTACCCTTTTTCCTTCTGGCATTTCTTCTGTCATTTGCTCTAAAACTCAGATAAGGTGAGCTGACTTCGACTAACATGCCATCGTTTATGCTGCCAATCTAGTGCTATTGTTCTTCTTTCTCATTTTCGTGATTACTTGCGTTTTGAGCTGTTTTCATCAAAACTCTGTCTGTTTTTTTGCTGTTTACTTGTTGCGCACCCGGTGGTTTCCTTTCGCATAGAAATTATTTGGTGTCGTGGCATTTGGTGCAGTGGCTGATGAAATGATACACACCTGTGCCGATTAAATTAGCAAAAGTCCAAAAATTTCCAACATCCGCGAAATGTCCGCAACACCAAAAGCTCCTGGATATTTATAATCAGTGAAATATCAACAGACTTTGCAAAAAATCACTCCACTTGTAAACTGGCCCGACGTCTAAGCAGGTTGTATGCGACAGTGGCTGCGTTATCTGCACCATATGTAACTTGCCTGATGTTGGAGATGTAGCGATTATAACCACAATGTGGCAGTTGCACGAAAGAGGCTGCTTACTGCCTTCCAATGTTGGCTCAAGGGCCTACCGTACCCACTTTACGCACCATTCTATTTTCATATTCCACTGCCTAAAGTACAGTGACTGCGCGCTGCTGGTTCGTTGCATGTTGTCGGGCTGGCGCGCAGCTTTTGCGGCAACCAATGTACGGTTGCACCCGTCATTCAACTTGTTTGAACTAGTATGGCCTCGCCTTCTTTACGTTGCGACTATTCCGAGGGATCACTATGGGACCCGAAAATCTTGATATTCCAAAAGAAAAAAACGCATTGCACAAAGCAACAGACAGAGTTGAGATATTTAAAGCCAAGTTGCAGTGCACCGGTGCACATACAGCTTTTGCGCATACCAAGTATCTTCCCCTTTATTCAATACTAGCTGGCAAACAGGCTCCGCCCGGCCCTGTCAATAATACATTCGTAATCAGCATGCTCACTTACCTCCCTGTGCCAACTCCCAGCCCCGTAGCTCAAACTTTTGAAAAATCAATAAAATCGATATCGGTCGACGGCGAAAAGTAGCCTGTGACACCCTTCCGGCCGAAGTGTATGTGCGCAAACTTTGGTCCGGATCGGTTCAGAAAAGGAATTTTCTATTCGGAACATACTACGTACGGACATACAGATATACAGACAGACACACATACAAACAGACATTCAGCTTTATATATAAGATATTTAGAAGTTATAAATACGTGTTCCGAGCGCATCCTTCTGAATCTCATAAACTTGGTGTTTAATGCGCATTCCTTTTACTTGAAGCCGGATGTCACCCCAGAAGCGGAAATTAGCTTGCTTTGAATTAATATGCGCTCTCCTATAACTTCACTATTCAGACTGAAATAGACATACTGGCACCAACCATTGCGCGTGATGATAATCGTAGCAAATGGGCAGCCACAACAATTGCAACAAAGGTAGCCGTTTGATTAAAATCAGTTAAATTTTGACAAATTTGCAATTTGTTGATTCATATTTACAGTCCATCAAAGTTTTGTCGAGAGAATTTGCCGCTAATAAGAAGTACAGACCAAGTGGCTTTACGACTGTTGCCTATGATAAAAATGAACCCAAAAACAGGTAGGTTTAGAGAGGAAACTTCTACAAATACTAGAGATTGTTTTAGGTATAACGATATCATCTGCATAGATGCTACTCGAGTAATTTTGAAGGATCGCCCATCAGATGAAGATTACATACATGCAAGCTGGATGACTATGCCAGATCGCTTCAGGTATATCTGCACGCAGGTCAGTAGAGCTCTTCCTAAAGCTGCCCGCAAGCTAAGTGCTTATGACATGCCAAATCTCGCTTTGTGGACGTAAAGCGAATATACGTCAAAGTCAGAAAGATACTCTGCCATGGAACAAGCATTCAACCAAGTTTTGCTCTTCGCACAAAGTTGCTTGCGATTCTAGGGACCTTTATTAGAGACCTTGGAAGACTTTTGGCATATGATTTTTTGGGAGAAAAGTACAGTTTTAGTACAATTGTGCAATAATATCGAAGGTTGGTCAATAATGTTTGCTAATGGAAGATTTGCAAAATAAGAAATTTCAGGAAAGCATGAAAAGTGTAGGCAATACTTTCCTAAATCCAAAGGATCGACGGAGAGCTACGGTCCTTATAGGGTTACGAATAAGGGTACAAAAGCCGATCCATATGAGGACGTCAAACAAACAGTACTTGAGGTGAAATGCAGGTACAAGAATTTTTCTGCTTTTGAAAAACCTATTGCGAAATCTGCAGCGGTAGATCGTTTACGGTAAACCACTTTGCGTACTTGGTATGGCCTGACCATACTGCCCCATCGGACCCCGCCCCAATGGTGGGTTGCTTTAAGCTGTGCCGTCAGTTGGCGGAGAAAAATCCCATAACTGTGCATTGTTCTGCTGGTATAGGAAGATCAGCCACATTTGTTGGTAAACAAATTTCATGGTCTATCCAATATTAGTTCATTGACACGCATTTTTAGCCATTGACTACGCTTGGCAGAAAATCAAAGACAATGCTTCTGTGCAGATGGTAGAGATTCTGAAAGATTTGAGGGGCCAACGTTTCCAGGCTATCCAGTCCCCCATACAATACATTTTCCTTCATATGTGCCTGCTCGAATTAGCTGTTGAGGTAAGTGTCTGCAAAGAATCAGACGTCGTACCGCATGGTACATATCACAGGACAACTTGATTGCTCGGAAAGGAAAATACTCGCCGTATTTGAGTTCATACCAGACCATGCTCAGAAAATACAACAAGAAGGTGGCAGCGGCGGAAGCGAGGGCAGAAGCACAGAGAAAGTGAGAGAACGCAGAAATACAGTATTGTTAAAGTTTAGAGATTATCTTCTATCAATATAACAAAGTCATTTGAAGCAATAAAAAGTTCTGTATGTGCAAAGTTGTATAAGCCAGCAAACAAGAAAAGTTGATGCTCTATTTCTTATGTCGCACAGGTTGGTATTGTAAAACTTCTGGACCTTACGTTTCGAACCAGCTGGGAACAAGTCCAAAATAGGGGTCCATCGAAAATTGCGATATTTCAATAGCTCATTCGTTCTTTTCAGCAGCATGCTTAGCACTGTTGTTTAGATAATCAATACAACTTTGAAACGTTTTTATTCACTTCAACAAAGGAAAAATAACTCAGAAAAAAAAGAGGGTCTGCTGCCGGAGATCATTAGGAGATCATACAGGATGGAAAAGGCTGCTTGTACAGCTTTTCGCTTCTACTCCATATGTTTATAATGAAGGATAGTAAGAACATTCACAGATAGGTAGACACCGTGAAATCCAGATATCTGGAGCTGCAGAATATGAAGTTTTCTTTCAAGCTGCGATTTCCTTCCGCGGAAATGCCAATGTATGCTGCAAATACAACGTGCCAAAAACATCGAAGGGCAAAGGAACTATAGTTAACCTTAAACTTGATAAATCGCACCAAACCAGTGTAACGGACATCTTTGTATTGTATTCAGGGAGTCCTGCTACTTATAGTTTGCGAAATCAAGCTCACATAGCGAGAGCAATGGTGCAGGTCACTTGTTATTAGACAATCATTTCTTTTGTTCATGCTTGCATTGCAAGAGTATCTTCACACCGCTCCAAGGGTCTTTCGTGCTATAACGTCTATCATGTTCAAATCATTGCTGTCACGCCTTTCAAACTCATGCTTTTCTAAGGCCTCGGGCAGAGTTGAGTGATTTGGTCGTTGCTCAATTGCTACAAGACAAGTGTTACGAGTTCAATGCATGCCGATCTTCTTGCACTTCGGTTGTGATAGTTTCCCAACACGACTAATCGTGACTAAATATCACAACCGAAATACAAGAAGCGCCATGCAATGAACTCGTGGCACTTGTCTTGTAGAGACTATTACATCGCTTGAACTTTGCCCGAGGCCTAATGGAAATAACAAGTTTCCTCTCTTCATGTTAGTCAAGCATTCGCCTACCTTAGTGCCTGAATGTCTATTCGTTTCTCCACTATACGCACCATTCTGCAACTCAAGCATTCCAACTACTGTACAATTGTAAAGGATAGATGCCGCGGTGCCTGTAGGCCATAGGCAATATTGAATGTTGATCTTGACCATGTACTTTGTACCGTGGCGGCTATAAATAAGGCCGCCCGGCCGTTGTTTTAGTTGCTGTAATTGTCTGTCACTAAATCTAGTCTTCTAATAAATTCTTCTATTACTCTCTCGTTCCCCAGCTGGACATCCGCCCTCGCACTAACGAACCCGGTTAGTGCGTCACAATTCTAATTTGGCGCAACCTTCTAGATTCCGTGAGGACAGACAGTGCAATTTTTTGTTACACACTCAACATCGAAAACTCTGTTTCTGAAGAACCTATGTTTGATACTGTCGTTAAGAATGTCAATCAGCATGACTTCATTTCGCAGCTGTGCTCTCAGGAGGATACATTATGCTTCGTTGTCTCTATCGGAAACAAATGGTACGCGAATGGAGCGCACCAAAAACACCAAAACTTCCGTGTGCATACCATTTGTTTCTCCATTTTGGGGAAATGTTATGTCATGCCATATTTAGTAAAAGGTAATTAGGTTCACTACTAGCAGACCTGTGAGAGGTTTTTTGCAATAATTCAGGCAATGAGAACGCAGATGAAGGCAACCAAGGAAACTTCAAAAGAAAAGTGGACTGATATCCTTGAAGAAAGTTCTTGCCTTTGTTCGTAGACAAAATCTCTTTACTCTAGCGACACCTATAGATTTAAATAAACAGAAAAAAAGAGATTGTTGCTGTAAAACTTTACCCACCGCTGCAAGAGTGGCGCATTTGAGACGAGGCTTAAAAGCGCTTGGCTAGATGGCACTATCATATTTATTATATCGGACGTCGGGAAATGCAAGCAGTAGTTCTATATCAGAGAAAATACTTGTACAAAGAGATTCGGTGGTTGCTTGCATTAACCAGAAAAAAGGTGGGCAATTTTGTTTCCAATGAAATCTTCTGTCAAGATCAAATTTACGGCACTTACCTTAGAGAGTCTGAAATATACTTGCGAGGCCGAAAAAAATTTTTTTATAAGGCTAATTTGAATTTTTAAAAATTTTTAAAAATTATTTCAATTATTTACAAATAAAAACGAGTCCTCTGGCACATTTTATAACACATTTAAGTAACTTTCAAAAATTTCGCGACCCATTCTCGGGGGGGGGGGCGCCCCCCCCCCTCCCCCGCCCTCCCCCCTCGGTACGCCACTGTCTACTACTTATACTTCTGCTGACAACCACTGTTAAATAAGCTACAATTTTTTATTCTTGAGGGAAATTTACAGCTATCGCTGTATAAAATTCACAATTGATCTATCTATGAAGGAGCTGCCGGAAAGCAGAAGACGTCAACGAAGATCACCGATGAGTAAAGAGGAGATGGACTGGCTCGTGTGGGGCATGGGATGAATTATCTGCTCCCAGTATGCTTATCTCCCTTGCAAGACCAGTGATTTTCACGACTTTAACCACCTTCTGCAAAAATTTTGTTAGAACCTAATCAATCATACCATTTTTGTGCGGAAAATGAAACATTATTTCCTAAGAATAGGAGAGAATTACACCAAGATAACCACCTGATTTGCATAGTAGACGAAAGCTCTTTTGTCGTCTGGAATTTGATACGCTTCTGATGAGTCAAAGACTCCAGATTGGCTTCTATTCTACCTTTGAGAGAACGCGGGATAATAAAATATGCGCCTGGAAGAGGCTGAAGGCACCCTATTCAAACTGAAAGAAACCTAAGATAGGCGCACACATTGAGGTGTTGTACTATCTTGTTGTGTAAGGTGAAGAATACCAGCTGCAGTAGATTTGCACAAAAAGCAAACAGTATAAAACTTCGAAAGGAAAAAATGCTGTAGGGGAAAAAGTATTCCGCTCAAAAATATCCGTGCTCCAAGTGCAAAAGAGATGCAATAACGATACAAAGAAGCGCCTGTTTGAACACAGTAGGAGGCCACATTCCACGAACCGTTTCAGATTCTGCTTACGGTAGGTTGACTAGTGATTGCAATGAATAAGCACACTGAATAACCTGCTGTAAGCAAAAATCTGAAACGATTCGTGGATACTGGCTTCCTACTGTCCAAGCGAGCCGTTTTTGCAAAACTACAAGCAGTACTGTACCTACACCAGGACAGGATCTGTTCCTCCAAGAGATGGGCTTCACATCTGCGAAAACGTGGGTTAACAATTTTTGAAAATTCAAAAGGGATAAGTATCTTAGGCCCTGGGCATACCTCTCGCGATTTCAGTCGCCACCCGATTTGACCACTTGCCAGACCTCTTCAAACCCAAGATTCGCAAGCCGCAAATGCTTAGTGTATTCAATTTTATGTCGATAAAATGTGCTATTTCCCGTATGCTCAACCGAGTTTGTTGAGTTTTGGACGAGTTATAAGCAAGTGAAGTATTGCCGAGTCGCGTCTTGACTGAAATCGCGTGAGATATGCCCAGGGTCTTAAAGATTTATCACTGAGTGTCCGAAAAAATACACTTTTTCAGTGCAATCCTGTCGAAAAGCTATTAAAGCCGCGATGAGCCTCCGCTCAGCATCGCTAATAACGATGTGTTTGTCACAACATCTTGAAGAAAGGGAAAAACCTCACTGAATTTGAGTCCCAGTACCGTTATGTAATTCATATATCTCGAGGCAGCACTCTCGGTTTCGTCAGTTTTAGTCCTTCTATTGCGGTATTTTTTCAGTTGATTTTGGACCAAGCGCTCTATGATAAAATGATCGCGCAGAAAAATAATTTTGTAAAACAGTGAAAAAAAGCAAGAAAGGAACGTTACGCTTAGCGTTGCGTTACGACTGTGTTCTTGGAATTTTTAAAGACGAGAAATGCATTCCAAGCGTTTTCCGAACAATGGCCAGCATCGTGGCCGCAAAAACCCGGTGTTGTTTCAATCAGTGTTGACTGGTTAGGCCGTAGTCGTAAACGAATGCGGCCTACTCAAGAAGTGACTATTGGGCCTATTCAAGATCACCTGTTGGCCAACTCCATAAACTTAGTTTGTAATAACTCTATCTACTAAGTGTTGGCATTACGACGAATCACTAAAGTTCAAAGTGACTGCCTGATCAACATTGATATATTTTACACGCTTAGTCCTTCCTTCACTGATGATTTCCGGGAAAAGTCGTATTCCTATTCTTTTTTCGCTAGTGAAAGGATTGGAACGGAAAGTGGATACATTATCTAAAATTTCTTTGTACAAATTGTTTACTCCATTCTGGCACTACATTCTCCATCAAGAGTGATTCATTTGTATGTGATGTTTTTCTCTCAACTTCCTGTTGAGCGTTATCTTGACTGTCGTAGATTGTTACGTAGTCAATTGCGGAAATGTTCTTTATCAGATTGGGTCAACATGGCGTTTGAGTAGCACTTCATTTTCCACAAAAACAAATATAAATATTCTTCTTCGCCTTTTCTACCAACGTCCAATCAGCAAGATCCCCTCCAATATATTCGATCCAGACACAATTATTTGATTGAAACTCAAATTGTTTGTTAAATGAATGAGAGACACGCATTTTCAAGAAGGATTCAATAGATGCATTGCTGTTGCGATGGAATGGAACACGATGTAGAAAAAAAGATACTTTTGATGCAGATTTTCCAGGCTTTTCAGCTATAAACTGCTGTCTCTAAGCTTATTTTTCTATTCAGCAGGTATTGCAAAAAATCTCGAGGTCTTCGCAATGTTAACAGACTACGTTGAGAGTGCATATATATGCATCTGCACCTCGCATTTTGTTCAAAATTTTGTACTTTGTAACCGAAGCACAGTTGTTTAGGCTTAAAACTGTGTAAATTTGTGGAAGCAGGAAAGAGCAAGTATGGATTACATGTGAACTTTTTTTGTTATCGGCTTTGCGAAATGCCATTCAAGAGCTGGGTGCACAAGATAGAAATAGAACATAATTAAAGTTCAACGAATGTGCCTTTTCAGCTGTCTTGCTGCGAGAACGAAGAAGTCTACCCCATATACTACTACTTTATTCTCTAAAGGACAACAGCGTGCAATTTGGATACACCTCAAACAAAGGCTGAATAACATTTTCAATTTTCTTTTTTGCATAACCGCTAGTTCTCCCTTGTACCAGGTAATAACAGCACAGATAGGAGTTACCCGGCATGTTGGAAGCGTTTTCCTCCTGCATTTAGCCATGCACTGTAAAGCAGAACTCAGAGTCACTCAAGATTAAGCCATCCAACCTCAGATGCTCTTTGAGAATCCGAGACTTGAGAATCCCTGGCCCAAGCAGCTTGCGCTGTTACCAGCAGTATTAGCAACAAAAACTTGTCACATAGCATATTGCTAGTAACAAACCTGCAAACCACATTATGAGGCAGATTTTATGATGAAATTCATCATAGCGTAGTGAAGCTTTTTACGACGGCGGCATCATTAGTTAAGGCCTTAACGAGATGTCCAGAGATAAATCTCAGTGAAATTACCAGGTGTTACTTGAAGCGGCATTCTAGGTGAACAGCGAAGGAGGTGGTGCTTTGTATTAATATACAAGAAGAAGGGGGCCATGTAACCCCTCAAACTCAGCTAATTGATGACCATTTCCGTGGGTGGCCCACTATTCGGACCCCAGAATTCGCAAAGACATACTAATTATTAATATGTTACTCATTATGCTTAATCTTTACTTTATGTCTACGTTATGTAAACGATTATGCTCAAGATCTGGATGATAAGTATACCATTACACTCGTCTTGGAGCGCTGTTTCCGAAACTGTCTTCCGTTTTTGCTAATCTTTTTTCTGAAAAAAGTTATGAAGAATTTTTGGGCCAAAGCAAATATGGTCGGAATGCCAAGTCGTCGCTAGGTCGTGCACTGGCTAATGCGATAGCCTTACAAGCTAATGCCGGTATAGGTTCGATTCCTTTTGTGTTTTTCAGTTTTGCATTTCCTCAATCAAGCTTCTTTTTGAAAATCAGGCATCCTCAACCGTATTTCTCATGGGCGATCATTGACGCGAAAATTTTTCATAACTTCTTTTACAGAAACGATTAGCAGGAACGGAAGCCAGATTGGAGTTAGCGTTCCAAGACGAATGTGATGGTATACGTTTCATCTCAAAAGTCCACGGACACTGAGTGTCGTTCCCTTGTGAGAATGCGTAAATGTTCTCTATTTCGTTACCAAAAATCAGACTGTTTGCGCACGTATGTAGCCTACCACTTAATCTACAAATATGAATGCGTAACAATCAGAAAGAGGAAAGCTGCAAAATTGGTTGCAAAATTCATGTGCCAACTTAATATGTACCCGATACTAATTCCACAAATTTATAGCCGTCTAAGTACGCACAGACTATAGACTATGCCACCTGTGTGCATGAGTTATAAATAGACGTATCTTTACATATTACAAAATGTGAAAAACAGTATGGGATCACAGTAATGTATTTTACTGAAAAGAATGAGCTTTCACTTGCTCTCTTCTTTAAAACCGGGCATTATGTTGACTTTGTGAATAATTTTGTGCTAGATGATTAATACCTGTCGAAACGTTAGGCAATGAAAATCCACCGTGAAAACCTGTTTGGCACAAAATCATTCAGAATATAAGTTTGCAAATATACGTCACACTGCCGCACTCATTCTTTACGAGTTGCAGTTCTCCAGGCCTAGAATGATCGCCACACTATTCTAAAAAAAAATTTAGCATTTCTTTGAGGTATCTATGTCAGCGGCTGCTCGAGAGGGAATCCTAGCCTAAAAATTGCGTTTTTAAAAAATCTTGTTTTTTTTCGTTATTTTCACGCGGTTTTCGTCCATTCAATAGATCTTGCTTCTTTCTATGATGTAGACGAAGTCGACAAGCCAACATTATTTCATATAGCAAAGTTTCCCGCTCGGAATGATGAGCGAAACAAATCAATGCTCTGGCAGGAAACAGAAACCACAAGGTGGGGTAAAATTTTAAGGACGCATCAAGAAATTGCATTGGCTTCGATGTGCATATTGATTATAAAGAAACACTTCCTAACTAGCCCTTTTCCTGCTTATCTTCTTCTTGACAGCCGCCATTCCCGGCCCTTGAGACAGTCTCTATCTGTATATAAAACTCAAAGACTGTCCGTTTGAGGGGATGTGCATTACAGAAACTCGTGTCGCCGAAACGACAAAGTTGTAACTTTGCACACATATGTTTTCAACCCTGTGCATGTTAAAAACATTTCTCACGCCAATTCATCGGGCCCCTCTTCTTTTGCTGATTTGTTTATCTATATACCAGAAAATGAAAGCTTATCGTGTTTTATCAAACAGTAAGTGTTGAGCTCTCACTTGCCGTAACAGAACACAGTGAAGAGTAATCGTTTATTAGGAAAATACCCCAATAGTAGAGAATCAGCTTTATTGGCGTAAAAGATGTGAA